ATTATTGGATTAAAAATAATTCTTTACCTGTTTCATTACAAGGCTGTCATCAAAAAATTAAATCATTTATTGATGATGAAGATATAATTAACAGTAGTTTAACTTATATTTGAACTAATTGTGGAAAAACAACATCACAAAATTATAAAATATTTGTTGAAATAAAAATTTTTTCTCAAATTTCTGTAAACAGATCAATATCAATAAAAACTGTAAGAATATGGCTTCGTAAATTGGGTTTAGTTCCACAATCACGAAAAAAAGGTATTTATTTTAATGGGCATGAACGTGAAGATGTCTTACAATATAGACAACAATTTTTAAAAACTATGGAAGAGTATGAAAAGTTGATGCCTACATTTATTGGTGATGAAATGCAAATGGTTCTTCCAGAACTTAAAGAAAAAGAAAAATTACATATTTTAATTACACATGATGAATGTCTTTTTTATGCCAATGATGATCGTCCCATAGTTTGGACACCATTGGGTGAACCTCCACTTCGAAAAAAAGGACAAGGAAAATCTTTAATAGTTAGTGATTTTTTATTAGAAATGATTGGAAGACTCAAACTTATAGATGATCTTATAGCAAATTATCCAAATATTTCTAAAGATGCACGAAAATTTCTTCGTCCTGATAAAAATGAAGAAGGCTGGTGGACTTTAGAACACCTTATAGATCAAGTAGTTAATACTGCAATACCTATTTTTAAACTTTTATATCCCAATGCAATAGGTGTCTTTGCATTTGATAATAGTACTAACCATGGTGCTATGGCAAAAGATGGATTAAATGTCTTTAGAATGAATTTAAATTCAGGAGGAAAACAATCACATATGTATGATACTTATTATGGATCAAATAATATATTACAATCTATGGTTTTTCCATCTAATCATCCTAAATATCCAAATCAACCAAAAGGCATGAAACAAATATTAATTGAAAGAGGTTTATGGAAAGATGATTTATTAGCTGATTGCAAATTATGTAAAGAAAAATTAAAAATTATAGATGTAAATAGAACAGAATGTTGTGCACGTTGAATTTTGTCATTACAACCCGATTTCTTGGCACAAAAATTCAAACTTCAAGAAGAAATTGAAAAATGTGAACAAAAATATATATTTTATCCCAAGTATCATTGTGAATTAAACTATATAGAAATGTATTGGGGTGCTGCAAAAAAATACACTAGAGAACATTGTAATTACATTTGGAATGGATTACAAAAAACTGTTCCCAAAGCATTAGATTCAATTTCTTTAATTACTATTCAAAAATATGCACATAAATCATGGAGATATATGGATATATACAGAAAATGTATTACTGGAAAAATGGCAGAATATGCTGTTAAAAAATATAAATCCCATCGTTGTGTACCTGATACAATTTATAATGAAATAAATAATTAAAATTTTATAAATAGATTTTTTTATAACAATCTTTATTAATATGATATTGTCACGTGTTTTTGCATTCCTGAATTCTAATTGGCTAAAATCGCATCACATGATACTTACATAAACCAAGAAAATTGAGAAAAAATTTTTTTTCCATAAATAGATTCCCCAAATGTATACATTCAAATACTATAATATAAAAGAAATCTGATCGGTGGATCAAATTTTATTTAAGATTTTCTAAGTTCCTATTATAGAGGTTCCGCACTGTAGAAGTAGCAATATTATAAATAAAGTATTTTTTTTGCCGATCGTGTGTTGTACTATCTGCATGCGTAATCACAGATTAATCAGATCTCAATAAAGAATTCGTTTCTCGAAATACAGTATTTACTTCATTTACTGCATATATACAATAACTTGCAATGTCTATCAAAATTTTCTGCCTTGTTAAAGGAAACTCAGCAACGCACGCTTTTCCAGTCAATATCAATGGGTGCGATACTATTGGTGATCTCAAGGAAGCTATCAAGGAGAAAATAGATGTTCCTGCTAACTTTAAAGCGAAAGACCTAAAGTTGTGGAAAGTGGAAATACCTGACGATAGAGAAGATTTATTGAACGCTCTTTCACTCAAAGACGAAGACGAACTTCGTTCAACCCGAGATATAGAAGATTACTGGGCTGAGAAGCCACTGAAAAGGCATATTCATGTAATAATCGAGCAACCTGTTGCTTTGAGAAATGAGATCTCAGGCCTACGAGAAATGTTAGAAAATCAAGGTTTGTCTTATTTATCACGTTGCTGCCCTGGTAATTATTATCTCCAAATGTGCTGACAAAACTCTTAAACGTTGGCTAATTGCTTCTTCATAGCTCTCAATCCTTTAAAAGTGCCCCTAGGTAAGTTAGGAAATATATTGACAAATGCATACCTTCTAGTTTTGTCTAACCTGCTTATTTCCAACATAGATAATTTCCTGTATGTTTCGACTCGCAATATGCTCTGAAGAAATATGGAAATGACTAACCTTTCCTTTATTTTTTTCTATTTTATCATTCCAACAGCTGGACCCAGAGTTGTTGAATTTTGGAAAAATTTTCTCGATGCAAAAATAGTTTTCCCGATACCACAAGATATGGAAAAATACGAATTAAATGGTTTAGAATCTTATTCTACAATCGAAGGCAGTCATATCTATCTAAATAAAGGGATGATTACCGATTCAAATGGTAGGCTATACAACAATGGAGATATCACCGATACACAATTGCCGTCAAAGCTGATGGATAACTTTGGAGGGATTCTGTGCTTGCCGGATGGCGCTTTCTTTCTCGGAGACGAGTGCGAATATGGATCGAAACTTCTCATACGAAATTGCTATCTGCAGTTGCTCGAGTTAATCGAAAAGAATCGTGAACCGGGTTCCCCAGCCGTTACTGGTTGCGCAATTACTGGTACACCTGGTATCGGAAAGACATACTTTGGTTTATACCTCCTCTTTTACATTCGGTACAAATATCCTAAAGCGACAATTATCTGGAGGGGTGATGAAGATATTTGTTATCAATTCTTGCCAGATGGTAATGTTCAAGAAGGAGATTTCAGCCTGTTTCGCAAGACGCTAGAAATTTCTGATAACTTCTACATTTCTGATGCACATACTATGACACGGTGTAAAGCCTATAAGTTCCTGCTCACATCACCAAAGGCAGAAAGATTCAATGAGGCTGTAAAATGGCGAGGGTTTACCAAGTATTTTATGCCAGTTTGGGAACTTGAGGAAATTACCGCACTTTGGACTCTTTTATATAAAAGCGAAGCGTTCACGTTTGAATTACTCGGGAACCTTCTGGAAAAGTGGGGACCTATACCCAGGTCAGTTCTTTTAAAATGGGACGATGTGACATATCAGAAGGATTACGATAATCTGGTTGATAAAGCTAATTTGGAAAAATGCATAAACTCTATTGACAAGGAAGGCATGCCCAGTGATACAGCTAGTGGTAGACTCGTACACCTTGATGTAGATCCAACATTTACGAAAGCTGTATGTCGTTTTGCTTCTCCGATGATATCTAACAAAATAATCCAGGATTATGAAACTAAGACAAGGAAGAGTGTTCGTGATTTTATCATGAGCAGTTATAATTACCCATCTGGAATTGCAAAAGGGTGGTAAATTTAGGGCGCGGTGTCTGAATAATAACTCAGAGACAACCGAAAGAATAACCAAGGAACTGAAGTGTAATTGGTTCATGACACTGAATGAAGCACGTAAAGATTATTATAATAGGCCAAAATCAAAAACATTTGCGTCGATTGATTCTTTTAGCTTTGATAATGATAACAACACTTTGGATTTGTACCAAATTACTGTCTCAAAGAATCACGGCATAAAGGTAAGGAAATAGACATAATCGAATTTATAGTTTATTACTATTACTTTTATCATTAACTCAGGTTGTATAGATAAAAGGACTTAATGACCTCAAATTCTCCCTCCCGTGGATAGATGTGAATAAAATTAATTTATACTTTGTTGTTCCATCGGACATCTTTGAAAGTTTTTCTCCGCAAAAATACAAGACAGCTAAAGGTGAAGATTATCAAAGAATTCCAGAATGGATTGATAAAATACCTCAATATGCATTAGAGCTCAACTTCGATTCAGGACAGAAGCGATCTAGGGATATGATATTGGAAGACAAGGAATGTGGAGAAGCATCAGAGATCAATGTGGGTTCAGAACAATATAATCTGAAACGTTCTAGCAATATGATGTTGGTAGACAACGAAAGTGATGGGGAAGTATCAGAGGAAGAAATGGATAGAAAAGATGTGAAGAAACTAAAAACATAAGTAAAATAACAGCGTCACTTTTTGTATCATATTTGAGTCGTAGTTTGAGCCTTATGATAATTCAAAATTTTCAAGGATTTATTCTTACGGGATGAGCGCGAAAATTAACTCAGTATTTTTATATTCCCATCCTCCAATATGTTTTATTTTTCCTGCATTAATAAAGCTAAACCTTGGTTGGCTTAATTTCACATATATAATCGCGGTTGCTTTTGCATGTGTATTTCGGGATTTATTTCAAATATATTGATATTTGATGTTACATGTGGTCAAGAATTATTACAAAGCTATTTACATAACATGTAACTCTGATCGTGATTTTTGCCTATGCTAATAAATGTAATTTTGAATATATCTACATCTTGTATAAAAAATCGATTTCTGATGACGATGCAAGATATTATGATTTAAGTAGCGTAATAAAAATCATTTCATTTTGACTCTTTAACATTAAACGTTTGCATAATATAACTAGCGCGCATTAACTTTAACATTAATAAATGATTATATAAAGCCGAAAACAGTGGATCTGGCCCGGCCAAAAATTAACACGCTTATATGATGTTAAATATATAATTTTATCCAGGCCTAACCAAAAATTTGTATGAATTGAGTATGGATCTTTTCCCATTCTTTCATAAGCTCATCAAGCCGTGTAGTACTTAAACCGCTCTTTAGTATACCGCGACGTAATAACTCTTCACCGACTAGCCTATCCCGATCTGTTAAAAATTTATGATATTTTCTGGTATCTTCGTTCCTTTTTATTCCTCCACGATAAAGGCGTATATCTCTTTTCAAGTCAGCACGGAAGCATCCCATGGCCCATCTATTTTTCTCAGCCTCAGTAATAACTGAAAATTTCTCGGGATCCATTTTATGTTCGATGGCATATTGATAAAGGCGGGTTTTGTTTGGATGAATTGGTGAGTTACTGATTTTGTTTGGCACTCTTACTTGAGTTTCCGGTGACTGTATAGCAATTATAACTTTCTTCTGATCGATGCGAAAAGGGCAATTAAGAAAATAGTGATCATTTGTACCTAGACAGCTCCAGTCATCCCATATACCTAAACGTGTGTGTACTTCATCGCATATCGGACATTTAGCTTCTGAATTGGTATATTTAAAAACATCTCGATACCATGTATTTGATTTAGTGTAGGACAAGAAAGGGAAACGTTTATGTAATGCATCATGGATTATACCTTTCTCTTCCGGAAACTTGGAAATTTTGATAATACAGTCCTGTGAAAGGTGATTATCGGTCTTTTCGATTTGTGGGGATTCGGGAGTTTCAGACTTTATCCAGTGATTGAGTCCAGTCTCTTCTGTATATGCTCTATATAAGCTTAAACGAATTTTATCTGTCAAATGACTCGGTGAATCAACCAATTTAGCGTGCCAGTTTAAATATTCAGGAGTTAAGGCTTTATCCATGTTATTCTTTATATGATCGCAAATTCAAATTGAGTATGAATTATGTCTTGTCTTGCTTATATAACAAGGATGCTTACGTGCTGAAACTCTGTGCATATCTCGAAATAGTAATAAAAATATATATATATATATAGTATTGCAAAGCAATGACCCTTCAGGTCTAATTAATTTGAAATCGGAGAATTTGTCGAAGGCAGTATAACTTTATATTTTATGCTATTATCTCGATTTCACGCTTTCCGCATATAATAAAATAGGTTCCAACTTCATATCTACCTTTTACACTCTTCCCATCTTCATGATATAATTTACATACTGGGCATAATGATCCCTCAATAATATTATAGTAATCAAATTTTTCAGTAATAAACGTTTTATATAGATCAGAATATTGTAACAATATCTTATTACGAAAGTAAGCATAGTCATGAATCTTATTTTCTGGCAATATATTATTAGGTGAAATACTTACCTCAGTTATATGAGTACGTGACTTATGGTCACGCAGTATAGCAATGAAATGCTTCTTAATTGTATTGATTTGCGCGTCAGTTAACTTCGAGAGTTTATTTGCACTATAAGTTTTAATTCGCTTAATTTTATCTTCTCCAATTGCACTAAATAATTTGTATATAGGTTTAGTTCTTTGAGTTCTTTTACGCAAACTTACACGAGAAATACCTGAAAGATACTGTAGTATTTCATCATAAATTTGCCCACTTACTAAATTATAGGCTCTCTTATCATTTCTTTGGTTTTCGGATAAGATATCATCAAGTCTTTTTTCAAAATGTTTTCTATATTGGTACCAGCTCGTAATTTCTTCCACCTTGGCTCATTTAGTATTATTTTCTGCCAAGCTTATTTTTTCAAATAGATGGACCAATTTGATTGTGAGTGATAGTTTATCTGTAGAATTTTTATCTACATTAACAACTTTAACGGTATCTTCCGTTAAAGGTTCTATTCTTAATTCTTCTATCAAAGGCTGTATGTTTATTTCAGGAATTTTTGTTTTCTGTAAGTCCGTATTTTGTTCTGAGGATTCTTCAGATAAATTAAAAGTGTTAGGAATAGATTGCGATTCCGAAATTTGTTTGACGTGTAATTCATCATGAGATTTTGGTGAGCTATCCGAATATAAGTTTTGGACTTGAGAAGTGAAAACTTCATTACTCTGTAATAACTTCTTTTCCCAATTCCTTTCTCTTATTTCATTACAAATCTGTTCATTACATTTTTCATTCAGAAAATTATCAATCCTTTTATCTTCAGATGATTTAGACTTTACACATATAGGTGGTATAGTCAAAGATGAATTAGAGACTTGAGACTGATATTCGTCAGAATTTGAAACATTATTGAATATATCAGATGTCGGAGCATCCTTATTTTGCAAGACTGCCTGTTCAGAGGTGTCATTAGAATTTAAAGTGTCATCAGTTATATCAGATACCGGGGTATCAGTAGTATAGCCACAAGTCTTTGACTCACCATATTGTAGCACTATCTGTTTGAGAGTATCGTTAGATTTTACTGGAGAGTACAAAACATCTTCCGTAGAAATACTTTTTTCTTCTTTTCCCTGTTCTAATATAGCGAGCCTAGTCTCAAGCTCTATATTCTTTTGCTCTAATTCCTCGACTCTAACATCGCGCTTTTCATTCTCCTTAATAATCTGTTTCAGCTTCGCATTCTTCTTTCTAAGCTTGGCAATCTCAGCTATAAGTTTGGAATTCTGTTCTTCTAATGTATCAACTTTGGATTGCGTGTTTGCCATTTTTTATACAAAATGCAGATTGTTCAAAAGTTTGAATAAATAGAAATAATGAGTGCGTGACCAAAAGTCACGCCGTTTGCTTTTGCCAAGAAAATTCTCGATCATATATAGTAAATTCGATAAATTCAATCAAGTAATACAATCAGAAAAATAACATATGATATATTACACAAAAAATAATATGTGATACGTTATACATTCCTCTAACCAAAAATCTTTATTAATAGCGGAGCTAGTGTCAAAGACACATAAAATATATATACAATAAAAATACAGGATAAATATACAGGATAAATATACAAGATAGAAATACATAATAAAAATACAGGATAGAGACAGAGCCTCATTGTTCCGCAATAAAATACATGATACCTAGAATAAACAATTATTTGTTTTCGCTATCGGAAAATATTGTTGAACTTCGTTTCTTAAGTCGGTCAGATCTGACTAATGGACCGTGTAATAATAAAGAGACGTTAATAATTAAAATGTTTCTTAATACCAAAAGCATATTTACAAATTGTATGACGTTATCACTATTAGTAAATTGAATCGGAATTCTGGTAGAATACCGATGATAGAGTTGATAAATGTCATCAGTATCCTTAATTAATATATTAAGATGCATCATTTCTCCCACAACTTGAATCCCGAGAATTTCAAATTCATTCCTATCTGGCCTACAATTTCTATGGAGATAATACATCCCATCATTTATCTCTCTCCATAGTTTTATTTTGTCATCCTTCTTTTTTTGTTCGAGACATATCAAGCGCGAACTTTTTACAAACATAAGTTCATATAATTTTCTTGCATATTTCTCGATAAACATTATATCGGGACATTTTCCTCGTTTGCCATCTTCTTTTCTGTCTGTGCTAGCTAAGCTCTGTCTCCCCGCACTAATTTAAAATGGTTTATATTAGTAATTATTTTATAATAGATAACTACTGAATTGGGTACTATATACTTGTAAAGCTGATATATAATTATATAAACTTACGTGCTAAGAAATGATAATTCTCCAGCTGGAAGATCTTTTAATGTAGCTCGAATGAGAGGAACTATTACATCAGTCACATACGTCCCTTCACTTTGTGATTTTACATATCGAGCTCCAAAGGCTGAGTTCTTCTATATATCATTCCTTCAAAATTAACAAACAGATTTTATGATATATATGGTGTTATCTCTATTTTATTTTTAAATTTATTAATTATTTATTTATATGTTTATATATTTTATTATCTTATTTATTCAT